GCAGTGCTGTCTTTTGGATTGTTACTGCTTGGGTTTTTTAATAATATTGTTTTCTTCCCATTAAGCCAACAGGCAAGTAACATAAGGCAAGTGGAATTGCAGCTCTGAAGCCAGGAAAGTCGGAGATGATCCCTGGCTGAAAAATCCAGATCCGGTTTTGAACTCCCAGTGTAGCACAAGGCCGTGGAGGCTTTCAGCTGGGATGGGTCTCCTGTGTGCAGAGGGGGAGAGTGGCAAACTTCAGAGTCAGGTCCAGGTTTGGATTCAGAAGCACACCTCCCTCACGGAAAGTTTGGGATCATTCCCAGAGGCTCAGGAGGGAAGAGTCAATTCCAGCCCTTCTCCTCTAACAATTCATCTGGGCACTAATGAGGAAAGCCGTCTTCTTTGTGATGACAGTTAAATATGTGCTCAGGCTCATTCCTCAGTCAAAGGTCTACATTATATTGGGTTTAAATTATTTTTTTGCTGTGGTTGTACCCTAATTTCACAAACCTTGCAGGCTAATCTGGATTGGAACACGGGGAGAACTTCTAAAGACTGTTGAGTCAAAGCAGGTAGATGTCTTCTCACAACCTGCAGCATTGTTTCTGTTTTCAGCCTTGAACCCGCACTGTTGACTTGTCTACAGGGACATGAGGGGGCTGGAAACATCTGGGAAGGACACATAAAACCTTTGAGCTCCAACAATCACAGCAAATCTGTGACTGATCCTTGTTTTGAAAGCTGGAATTCTCCCCAAACCCATGGGCTGAGTGGACCATCCATCAGGTTGTTGGAAAGGAAGCAGTTAGGATTTGATCAATATTTCAGGCAAATCAGGGAGGTCGATTAAAGTGAACCCTTAGAGCGTGTTCACGCCGTGGGTTCTCTGCAAAGGAGATTGCTCCAAGCTCTTGAGCCAGGAGGAAGCATTCCAAGTCAGTTGTGACTCCTCATCCTCATGGCTTCCACAGGCACAAATCTGAAGGGCATTTCAAGGAGATGGAGCTGGTACACACAGAGTAGTCCCAGAGCCTGTGGTTGACTCAGGTCGGTGAAAGGAGTGCAGTTACCGGGTAGGAAACAGGGTCCATGAAGCTTGCAGGGATTTCAGACACTGGGATTTTTTGCAACATTTATTGGAACAGACAGGCTAAGAGCACTGAGGGATAAAGGATCCCAAATCAAACAGCCTAATTGGTCTCAAATGGAGTGACTAAGGAACTCTCTCCATTCCAAAATGGGTCAAGTTGCATTTTAGAAGGAGATCTCTGAAATTTGAGTGGGAGGCCTGGATAGGAAAACGAATGGATGAACTCATAATTGACATGGATTCCATTATGGCTAATACCTGTGTCAGAGCTGCCACCGAATATGGCCTGCAAATCCAGTCTGGGGAAATTCGCTTTAGAGATGTGACCCAGGTGAAGCAGACTATTTGCCATGAGCCTGGGAGGAACTGAGACTTTAATTGCAAACATATGGCTGGGTAACTTTCCAGCAAGTGAAAACTGGGGGATAGATAGAGACCTGTTCTGAAACAGATGATCCAAGAAGGCTTTCACTGTCTCTAGTGATGGGTTTCTGTGCTCTCATATCCCTTTATATTGAACAGAAAATTGCAAAGAAAGGAAACATGATGCCAAAATACAATGTTGGCACAAAGAGCCCCGTGATTTTAGGAAGAATGATGGTGAAATTAAGTTCCCTGTGATTTTACTTTGACACATTTCCCTGTTTGTGTCTTTTAAAAGGCAGCAGGATGATCTCCAGCTTTCTCCTGACCTGGAGAATCATAGAATCATAGAATCAGATGGGTTGGAAATGACCTCTGAGATCATAAGTCCAACCCTTGATCCACTATCACCACAGTTACTACACTATGGCACTAAGTGCCACATCCAGTCTCTTTTTAAACACCTCCAAGGACAGAGAATCTACCACCTCCCTGGACAGCCCATTCCAATGTCTGATTACCCTCTCCGTAAAGAATTTCTTCCTAACATCTAAGCTAAACCTCCCCTGGCAGAGAGCTTGAGAACATGTGTCATGAGCAGTTGTGCCTGGGGTCAGTTCCAATCTGAGAAGGTGTCCTGAAGAACAAGATCATCACTCATTTGTGATAGGAACCAGTGTGCTTGAATTGCCTGTCCTGGTGTCCAGCAGGCAGGGGGAGTGCTCTGCAGCAAGGCCATGGACACCGGCTCCTGGATCTGATTGTGTCCACGGACAATAGGGAACACCTCTCCCCACATCCAGGATCAGGATCAGCAGGGTGTATGAGCACAGGTCATACAGGACCAAGAGCCCCAACTCAAAGCCAGTTCCCATGGGAAGTGGGGCAGGGCCCTGTAAAGGCTGCTCTCCAGTATTTCCCATGGTTTTCCACAGCAGTGTGATCCCAGTACCCCGTGTCAGAGCTGGCTGTAGCACAGGCAGCCAAACCCCAAGGAGAGGGGAGAGGCTGCAGAGTTCCCAGTGCACCCAAGGCCTTGGGACTGCAGACTGAGTGTCTCATCTGTTGCTCTCTCTCCTGACTGTCCTGAAGGTTTTCCATGCTTTGCAGAATGTCTTTAATACGAGGAAACGCATGTGTGTTCATCTGGGACCTGGAAGTTTTATGCATAATGAGGGGTGAAGAACTATTGTCTGTGTGATTGGGAAGGAGAGGAGGGGAACATGGGCTGGCATCAATCCCAAAAACAGAAGGAGTGAGCTCAAGGGAGTTTTCTTTTCTAAAAGTGTTTTTGTTTGTCAGGTGACCTTGAGAGAAAAAGAACTTAGCAAGGCAAAGAGTTCCTTGGTGGCTGGACAGGAACGAGCTGGGTCAGTGGAGTTTTGTGAGGTTGCACAGCATCTTCTGAGTCCTGGCATGGGAGGAGCAGCTCCTTTGTGTTGCAGACAGACTGTCCATGGAGACCTTGGGTTTTTGCAGCACTGGAAGAGTTCGACTCCTGAGTTTTGGAGGCTTAAGTTCTGGAGGGAATTGAGGAAGGCCTGTACTTGCTGTGGAGAAGGGATTTCTCCTTCCTTGAGCAGGCACCCAGGTAGGGTAAGCAACACCTCAAATGTCAGCGGGGAGGTTGGCTTTTGGAAGAGGATCAAAGATGAGTTTGAACAAATATGGCAGCCTGGTTTTGTGTCCACAACTGCACTTTTCCATGTGACCTAAATGTTAAGGTTTGAGGAGGCAAAGATTGTAAGTAACTTACAGAGTAATTGCTGCTTTGTGATGCTGTTTAGCAGTTCACACGGGCCAAAGCACCAATTTTGGTCAGAATAATTTTTTTAAAAGCAGTGTCTGGAACATCTGTGACAAAGGCTCTGGTTGTGCCGTGTAGTCCTGAGAATGAAACCAAGAAAAGTTGGGTCTGCAAAAACTGAGGCATTTCACAGTAAATATTCCCTAAACCAGTGACCACTTGTCTGAAGAGGAAGATTTATGCAAAATGGGAAGTTTCATAACAGCACTCTGTAATAAAATAACAACAGTGACGTATGCACACATGGACACACACACTCGTTCCAGATAAGATCAAATATCCAACACTCCAAAGCTGAAACACTTCTATTTATTTTTCTCCTTAAGACTATGATATATAATTTTTCCTGGACTGACAGTTCCAGGTGGAAGTGCTGTAGACAATTCTTTTAGCCACTGCTGGGGGAGAGCTCTCTACTTTGCCTATACTAGTGGATGTACCCAAGGTCTTTTCTGCCTCTAACTCTTCTTGCATATCCCAGTCCTCCCTTCCCTCAAGTCCTGCTCTCTCTGCTTGATGCATCCCTTTCCAGGACACTGGAATGCATCTCCACTTAGATGTTCTGTTGTCAGTGATTTTAACAGATAACATAGAGGCAGAGATTGGAACAGAGCCATCAGAGCAATATCAGGATCTGTTGGAAGGGAGGAAATGTAGAAAGGAGAGAGAAAAGGAGGCAAAAAGATAGAATTGGAAAGGAGGAGAAGTGAAAAGGGGAAGGTGAAGAAGGAAAAGAGAGCAAGGATCCGAAAGAATGACAGATTACTCCTCTGAGCTATGTTATATACTGCATAATTTAGAGTAAATTGAAATATTGTTAATCTATAAAGGCTGTATTGTTCTCTTTTTCTCTTGGCCAACTACTGCTGACGTAAGCAGCTCTGGGCTGAAGAAGTGGAGAGCCTTGAAGAGAGCCTGGTGCCCAGACTGGAGCTGGAAATGGGATTTGACCTCTGCTACATGAAGAACTTTGAGGACTCAGGCTTAGAGAAACCCAGGGAATGTGAGATTATTGGGCAAGCTTCAGGAGCTTTTTAGTTAGTGCTTCTTCTACAAAAGCTAATAAAAATGCATCTTTAAATCTTGTCCAGGAAGATCTCAGAGCTCTCCTGCAGAGTTAATACCCCTAACAGAGACAGCTTAGTCATTACAGGATAAGGCATAGCTGTGCTAGGAGTTCATATATCCTGCAGGCTTACTCCATGATATGTGTAAATGTATGTGTGTGGTTGTGTGTGTGTGTGTGTGTGACTGTGTATAAGCTTATGCAGGTATCTGTTTTCTCCCAATAATTCAGTAACTCTGCCTGCAGCTTTGCAGACTCCAGGATCCTGGCCAGCCAGAGCAGGAGAGGCTGCCAAGTCCGTCAGGTTGATGGAGCCAGCAGGCTGCTCCACCTGACTGTCTGGAAGCATTCTTTTGCTCTCTTGGGAGGTTCCCAGCACATCTCCATTTCCTCTGAAAGAAGGTTCACCCATGACTGCCAGCATCCATGTCAGGGCTTCTTTCCATGGGTGCTGCAGCTGCAAAACCCAGGGACCTGTGCTCCTTCTTAGCACTGTTGTAGCCATCTCCCAGTGGCACAAGTCCTGAAAATTTCCAAAGTGTAGCTCATTAAGCAGGTGAAAAACCACAGGTTCTTGGCTTGTTCATAGCTTCTTTGTAGGGATAGAGGGGGTGGTCTTATTAAGAATTCTGTGTATCTTACAACCTGGTGAAGACAGTAACAAAACATATCTTTCTGTTCTTTTAAAGGAGAACTTCCTTATCAACAACTGAGAAGATTCTGAAGAACTCCAAGGTATGTGAGGAGGTAACAAGAGGACAGCTAAAATGTGTGTTATTGTTATGTTTCTGTGCTAATCTCAGGAGTGATTGTACTGAGAAGGTAAATCCTTTGCTCACAAATCTCTGGTATTCAGGTGCCCAGCGGGAGCAATGCAGAGACACAGGAAAGATTTTCACCACTTGATCTCAGCATGTGGCTCTCGTCGGGTGCTGTGCTCTGTCTGCTCCTTGTCTGGGACAAGCGGGGTTTTCAAAAGTGATCGGTATAGGGGAGAATGAACACGTTCCACTAGAGACAGTTTTCCTTCCTGCCCAGACTGAGCAGATTTCTCCAGCTGCACCTGCCCTTCTGAGTCCTCCTTCCAAGTAGAGGGGAAGGATGGCTTTTCACAAGAGTTGGAAGCAGAGGCTTGCACAGCACCTGCATTGACAGGTCTGTAGTCATGCCCTGCTGTTTCACTGCCCAATGGATCGTGTTGTCTCTCCCTGTGTTTGAGGCTCATTTTACACCTGGAAGTGCCATCCTAAGTGCATGCACAGCATGAGGTGGAGCCCCGAAATGGGAGTGATGGACAGCAGAGAGGTGGAACAAAGCACCATCAACCAGCCCCAGGATGTTCAGTGAATCCATGAACAGGTACCCTCAGCATGTGCTTGTGAAAAGGGCAGTGCAATAGCAGAGTAGCCTCAGTGGTTCTCAGACAGGTTCACTGGCTCACTCAGACAGGTCTCTTCTACCTGTCATTCATGTGTGAGGTGTTCACCCTGCTCAGGAAGCCCAGCACTTTTTGTTCAGCTCACTGTAGCTTGTTATGCAGAAAAAGACATGCAAGCCATGCTCTTCTGCTCTTCCTTAACAAAGAGGCTCCCAAACCATGGCAAAGAACCTGACAACCTTCTTTATGCCTTTTGGAGCACTCACACTTGTATTGTTTAGCTTTGAATAGAGAGTTTTCAAAAATAGTTGCTTCACTAGACCAACTACAGACTTTTATAACCTTGCCAGCCAGCCATGGATCAAGGGTGGGAAGTGCTGTTTTGGCCAAAAAGGTGTCAATTTTTATTATTTTCTCTCTGAGTTTCTTTTTTTAGTTATAACAAGAATTCAGGTAAAGAGGAACTTGCATGTAAAAAGGAGGTGAGGATTAGTGAAGAGGCAAATGGGAGATTTTTTGTTTGCTTATGTGGAAAGGGAGAAAAATAAAACAGCTGCTTGTGGAAACATGGAAGGTCTTCAGTGTAATGAATAAGAAGAAGAAGAAGAAGAAGAAGAATGAATAATAAGAATAATTTCAAACACATTTTCTGAGACCTTTGCATTTATATGCAAATGCCATCTCAGAAGGTAGTGGAAAAAAATCAGTTTTCCTAACATTGGTGGGGAAACAAAATTTGCAGTTCTGGAAGACTTGCCATTTCCATAGGAACCAGATGAGATGAAGTAGAAAGACTTAACAGAGGTGATTAAAAAGTATTTTATACTGAAAACAAACTTTCTAGCTGAATGACATAAATTGCATTTAAGGGACCAAATGTCTTTCTAGCAAGTTTAAAAAAAACATGCCAGTGTATCTGCCCTGTGGTAACTGTGTGTTAGAAAGCCTTGGAGAGCAACGAGCTCAGCTGCAGAGCACAACCTTGGAGGAACCCCATCTTTGGGTGGCACACTGAGCTGGTGTAAATCTAGTTTATGCTACCAGAATTCTGGGGTTCTGTAAATATTTAAATACATGCAAAAAAACCCAAACAAAACCAAAACCCTGCTGTGCTGCATAAATCAAGAAAGGACCTTCACTATTTTACCTTGTTCTGAACAGAGGTTGGAGGTGAGTGACGTGGGCAGACTGCTTCTTCCCAGTGTTTGGTGTTTGGGCATTTTAACAAGATAAATAATTATGGATGATATCCTACATGAAAGGTTTGCCTAATTGTGCGTTTTGTTTTGGTTATTTTAGCAGTAATAATTCTGTGGTTTCTGTACTCACCTTCCCAAAGATGGAGCCATCATAAACAAATGAGCTGCTTCCTCTGCAGTGCTATTCCTGTTTGGATTTATTAGTGAGTAAAAAACAGCTTTGATCTACCCTCCAGCTTGATATGTTATGAGATATTTTCATCAAACTCTGCCCTCGATTGAACTCATAATAATCTGGGTAAAATTAATGCAGATACAAGTTCTTAGAGGTTTCTGGACAGTCAGATGGGATCTTGCAGTTAGATCTCTCTGGTTCAGTGGACATCACTGCAGGGACAGAGATCTTCCTATAGAAAATCCTTTGCAGGATGGGAGCGTACGAGCAAATGCCTTTGGCTTGAAACACAATTAATGCGTGGCTAAAGTTTGCCTGTATGTGTTGGTCCTTCTCCCATTGATGGCAAAACTCCCATGGAATTCAGCAAAGTGGGATGGAATCTATACAGAAATTATTTTTCCCAGAACAACTTTGCAATAACCAGTGGATTTGCGAACTCCTTGCTCTGACACATTGAAATAATTTGGGACTTTCATTCCATTTTGCTTTAATTGGACTTACACTACATCTGACTCTTCCTAAGTGGGTTGCTATGCCTAAAATATGTGCAGGCATGTTTGCACTCTCTGAGGGAACATGGAGGTTAAACTGGAAGGCGAGGTTATGTTAGCAAGGATATTTTCTTTTTATACTGCTTCCAAAGGCAACCCTGTTTTGGGCTCACCGCTCTGCCTTGACCGCTCTGTGCCTCTCCGGACCAAATCATGCTGGGATTTGATGATAAAGCACATCCTCTTTCCAGGACCCAAGCCAAGCCCTACATCCTAACTCACTGGTGTTCTGGTACCTTAGGCACTTTGTGGTTAGAAGGCAGACTGCAAATGTGGGTATGTCCAAACCCTCTGGAGGAAGGGAAGAAACTTCCTACAGAGTTGCTGTTGCCCATTTGATTCCCAGTTCCTTTGTTTTAATGTTTCTCTGGCTGTGCCAGCTGAGACAGCTCTTAGCTGGAGACCAGCACTTGCAGGGCCCGATTTGGTTCACATCGTCTATAAAAGTTTTCCATCTCTGACCAAGGCATTTCACATCAGGGTAAAAATGTGAGTAAATCAGAGCTGGCATCTATCCCAGACATATCAATTCCCTTAATTCCCTTTTTCCTGTGGCTTTGGGACAATCAAAATAGGGAATGTTTCCATTGCTATACCTTTATGAAAGTACAATATGTGAACACCATATCCTCAGTCCATCCAGCCTGTTCCCTCCCCTTGGTCGTTACCAACTGCGCAGCTTTCCCTGGCAATTATGTGAAACGGAGCACTGCAGTGGAGTAAATCTTTTGGCAGGGCTTAGCTCCAGGGAAGATCAAAACCCCCAACGTGACAGCTAATGAAACAAGGAGAAAGAAGATGGAAGCCATCAGTCCCAGGCGGCCAACACTAACACGGGCCGAAGGCGGTGGGAGGTGCCAAGGTGTCTGCTTGCGAAATTTGGAGACAGCTGGGGGAGTTGGAGAGAGGGCTGCACTGGGGCCAGTTTTCCTGGCAGGAAAAGCCATTTACGACAACAGAGGAGCAGTGGAGACAACTCATCCTCTCTGAGAGGACACATACTGTCTATTTTAAGATACAGGACAAACTGGCATTATTCTGCATCCCTGGGGCAATGGTGCTTTGCCGCGGACCTGACCTGGGTGGAGTGCACGGAGCATGGCCTGGATCCAGGAGGATGCACTGAATGCACGAGAATTGCCAGGACAGGGTGGCATGAAAGGAGCTGTGCAGAGCACCTGGTCCCCCGTGGGTAAAGGAGTTAAAATCAGAACATCTGCTGCAGCTCGAGCCAGAAGGCAGAGCAGAGAGTCAGGGCTGCCTATAATGAGCTTATTTATCTCCAAAGAAGTGTTTCTCAGACTCTGATCTGCAGGCCTGTGGTGATCAATAAAACATCCAGCAGTGGCTCATGAAACAATAGTAAACCCTGTCTCCTCCCCTCCGACAACCACAGAAGCAAGCATGCAAACAAAATGGGAGGAAATAAGAGCTACTATAGATTAACTTTGATTCTGTGAACTTTCAAATTTTAGTCTTTTGTTTATTTGATTTGATATATGAAAAATATACAAGTTGGTCTTTGGATTATTTTTATTTTTTTCTGAAAAAAGGTTAATCCTTGGACTTGAGAAGTTTAAGAAATGTGGCTCTGAGAGTGCTATTTTTGGAGCCAATTACAACAGCATTGAAATGTTGAAAGATTCCTTTTGTTTGTTGAAAGATTAGGCTGAAGCCCTTCAGTCTATAAAAGAATAATAAACCCTAGCAGGATAAAATCCTTCATTGCAATGAGGATACAAAAGCCACCTCAGAGTGATACGTGGCCTGGGCAGAGGCACAGGGCTGACAGGGCTGGCACTGATAATTACTAGAGCTATCAGTGCCCAGAAAAAAAGCCCGTGAGAGCTCTTGCTTCCTTCAGTTTATACAACCTCATCCTCCACCTCCTGCCATCACCTAGAGCTGGTTCAGTAGCATTTGCAAAATGAGGAGTATTTACACAGAATGCCCAGGCCCTGGTAGTGTCCTGCAGTCTTGTATAATCTGCTCTGAAGTGAGCTGTTAGAATGGAAGGATTGGCAAATTCACATCTCCTGAAATTCTGGAGTGAAAAGGAGCTTTAAGTGACCTTTTCTGCCTTGCCAGTATTGTCATCTGGGCTGTCTCGAACTTGAGGACCAGGCAGCATTTGTCTTGCAGTGGAGTAGAGTTTGCTTTTCAGATAATCCCACTTTGGCAAGCGTAGTTTCTGGATTATTAGTAAACCACCTTGAGACTCATCAACAGTTAGGGTTATGTCACTGTGCCTGCCTCTGATTTCGTGCATATCCTGCACGTGCAGGAGGGTGTGGATGAGCTGTGGAGCTTTCCAAGGGAATGGTAGGATTGAGGAGAGGTAGGCAGTCCAAGGTGCAGAGACTAACTGGGACAATAAAGCTGCAGGTAAAGACCAGGCATGCCTTTGTCTTGTCTGCCTGAGGCAACAC